GAAATCATAGAAAATCATAGAAAATTATAGAAAATCATAGAAAATCATAGAAAATCATAGAAAATCATAGAAAAGCATGGAAAATCACATAAAATAGCATTGAGAGATCTCGGTCATGGAACTATATTGAGACTTTTGGGCCATGCAGTCCAGGCTATATAATAGCAATGAGAGTTCTCTGCCAAGGAGCCGTATGAGACTTCTAGACCATGCAATAGCAATGAGAGTTCTCGGTCATGTATACAAATTGGGTGTTTTGGGCCAAGAATCTGTTTTGGGGAGTTCTGGACCACGTACGCAAGGAAACCATAGAAAATCATATAAAATCACAGAAACTCATAGAAACTCATAGAAACTCATAGAAAATCATAGAAAATCATAGAAAATCATAGAAAATCATAGAAAATCATAGAAAATCATAGAAAATCATAGAAAATCATAGAAAATCATAGAAAATCATAGAAAATCATAGAAAATCATAGAAAATCATAGAAAATCATAGAAAATCATAGAAAATCATAGAAAATCATAGAAAATCATAGAAAATCATAGAAAATCATAAAAAAACAATAGAAAATTACAGAAAATCATAGAAAATAATAGAAAATAATAGAAAATAATAGAAAATAATAGAAAATAATAGAAAATAATAGAAAATAATAGAAAATAATAGAAAATAATAGAAAATAATAGAAAATAATAGAAAATAATAGAAAATAATAGAAAATAATAGAAAATAATAGAAAATAATAGAAAATAATAGAAAATAATAGAAAATAATAGAAAATAATAGAAAATAATAGAAAATAATAGAAAATAATAGAAAATAATAGAAAATAATAGAAAATAATAGAAAATAATAGAAAATAATAGAAAATAATAGAAAATAATAGAAAATAATAGAAAATAATAGAAAATAATAGAAAATAATAGAAAATCATAGAAAATCATAGAAAATCATAGAAAATCATAGAAAATCATAGAAAATCATAGAAAATCATAGAAAATCATAGAAAATCATAGAAAATCATAGAAAATCATAGAAAATCATAGAAAATCATAGAAAATCATAGAAAATCATAGAAAATCATAGAAAATTATAGAAAATCATAGAAAATCATAGATAATCATAGAAAACTATAGAAAATCGTAGAAACTCATATACTACACGGGAAGTTAAAATATTTATGTCTGGTAAAAAGAGATTTCTGAAATTATGTATCCGTGATTACTAAACAGTTCAATTAGTTTTTAGACGATCAAATAGTTGATATAATAGTAGTGGACTATTCACTTACAGTTACTGATTTTAATTTCAGTGGGTATTAATTGTAAAGTGTTCAAAAAGATTTATTGATTTATTTATAGCATTAAAGTGTATTTCTACCTCAGTTTCTACTATAGAAATACTTGTAGGTACATTTATAATCTTCAGTTATTAATCGACTTTAAAACAATCAAAGACCAGAAACTGGGCAAATACAAATGTTGCTCTATGGTAGAGCATTGTCAATCGAAGATGCTAACACTATTATTATGTATATTCTCAATGAAATGAAAATCATTACAGCTTTAAAATTCCCTCAATTTTCTACAAAGAACTAAAAAGAAAATACTTTATCATCAGAGAAACAAACAAATTTGAATTCCTACGAGAAGAAATGGTTAATATTATTTATTTGGGCGTTATATCCTCGAGCTTTGTCTTATTTCGGGGCTGTCTGGATATGTAATCTTATCTAAAGTTTCTTGCGTGGTATTCGGATGTCGTAATAAATTAGGGTCTTGTCAATGATGGCGGAGAAGCTTTTTTCAGGCGTGGTTAGGACGGAATAACATGGAAAAATAACTAGATAAATTGTATTTGATGTAACTTTTTTTGTACTATTTTTTTTTGTTGAAAGAAAATGTTATCTAGATAAATAATTTATTTTAAACATAATTATTTACAGTTTTACTCTGTAAAAAGCTTTTTACTCTTTATTTTACGATTTTAAGTATGGAATCATTGAAATTCGTGCAAATAGTAATAATATGTTAAAAATAAACTAAAATATGTTACTTTCCTCAAAAACACGCAATTACATTGTTAATTTCTCAGCAAATGAAAGTTTCCCTCTCATTATCCATTTCTTAATATGGTTTTTATGTTTTCAATTACTAATAATGGTTAGAACTTCTCCCATTTACTGTTCCCTGAAAACGAGTAGTTTTCCCAACACTTCAATCCGCGAAATTCTAACTTAACTACGTGTTCCGAATGGAGTTAATCTGCACCATTTGCTTCTTTTTTAATCAGAGATCTAAAGATTACAGGGGACTTTTGTTGCCTTTGTAGGTTATTTAATTAAAGCGGAATAAAATCTATGCGGCTACACAAATAGTTTGGATTGATTTACTTTATTTAAAAAGAAAAAAAAATCATAGAATGATTAATGAAAAAATTCATAGAAAAATTCATCGAAAAATTCGTAGAAAAATGTACAGACATTCATAAAAATTCATAAAAATTAATAGAATTTCATAAAAAAAAATTGTTGAAAATTCGTAGAAAAATGTATAGACATTCATATAAAATCATAGAAAATCATAAAAAATCATAAAAAATCATAGAAAATGTAACGGTTACTCTTCTAGTACCGTTATTTCTTAATATTTTATAACTATATTTTTTAGAATGATTGTCCCATCTCTATTAGGACCGATAGTTTCATTCTTTCGCTACAAATATTTTATATAGTTATTTTTTGTTTTTTAAAAAGTTGTATGTTCGGATCGAAAGTGAATTTCGACAGGTATTACTTGAAAAAACCTTTTACAATAATACCTCAGAACGAGGCAGTCGAGATTATTAAATCTGCTAATATTTAAGCAATCTTAAACAGTATGTGATATTTTTATTAGTGGTGAGGAACCATCAGTATTTCATGATAAGTCAACCTTTGGATGGTTTTTTTTATTACAACACCGCTGAGAACATAGTTTAAAATATATTTTTTAAACAAATGGTTAGAATACAGTTGAAGTTATGGTCCCACATATGTTGAGTTATGATTAGAAGATAGTTGCAGTTATGATTACAAACATGTTAATTCATATATAGAAGAAGACGCATCGCTATAGGAGATCGTCCTTATTTGAAAAGATTGAAGACCTACACCAGTCCTACCTTGAGATAAGTTTCACTTTTATCTTTGAAACATTCAATAAAGAAGTAATTTAAACGAATCATGGCTTGTGTAGATTGTAATTGTTACTTGCCTGCATAAACATATACGTTCTGTTTAAACATCACTCATATTAATTATATTTGCCAAACTATTATAATTTCACCTTAAATGATATGTTTATGTAAGTTTGGTGGCCGCCCTCCATACCTTTCCTATAGTTAAGTTTTGTCAAGGTTATTAAGTGCTACTCACGGCCCTAATTAAATTGAGCTAAAACACGGTAAGTAAAACCAACATCACTTGTTACAAAAATCATAGAAAATCATAGAAAATCATAGAAAATCATAGAAAATCATAGAAAAAGTCATAGAAAAATCATAGAAAATCATAGAAAATCATAGAAAATCATAGAAAATCATAGAAAATCATAGAAAATCATAGAAAATCATAGAAAATCATAGAAAATCATAGAAAATCATAGAAAATCATAGAAAATCATAGAAAATCATAGAAAATCATAGAAAATCATAGAAAATCATAGAAAATCATAGAAAATCATAGAAAATCATAGAAAATCATAGAAAATCATAGAAAATCATAGAAAATCATAGAAAATCATAGAAAATCATAGAAAATCATAGAAAATCATAGAAAATCATAGAAAATCATAGAAAATCATAGAAAATCATAGAAAATCATAGAAAATCATAGAAAATCATAGAAAAATCATAGAAAATCATAGAAAATCATAGAAAATCATAGAAAATCATAGAAAATCATAGAAAATCATAGAAAATCATAGAAAATCATAGAAAATCATAGAAAATCATAGAAAATCATAGAAAATCATAGAAAATCATAGAAAATCATAGAAAATCATAGAAAATCATAGAAAATCATAGAAAATCATAAGAAAATCATAGAAAATCATAGAAAATCATAGAAAATCATAGACAATTCATAGAAATTCATAAAAAATCATAGAAATTTAGAAATTCAATAGAAATTCAAGTATAACTAAAATCTATGCGGTTATCGGGTCGATGGTGTAGCGGTCTATCGCGCTTATATTCATTTATAGGCGAGTTTATGAGTCCGAGACTGCTGGGCTTCGAATCCCAGGACCAGACAATGTGGATTTTTAATTAAATTGCATGGTTCGGTTTAGGATTTGATGTGTGCCATATTAATGGAAATTCATTTTCTGTTGATATGACATGCAGATTATAAAATCGCCATACATTATCGTCTCGATGATGGTGGGTGAGGTTTTCCGGATTTTCCTCACCTGTAAGTCAAATGGCACCATCAATCACCCTTAAGTCGCCCCAGAGCGCCACGGCAAATAATAATAATAGCCGTCCCCTTCCCCTACACAAGAGTTGTTCAGTCGACTTCAGGGGTTGAAATTCACTCGTAAGGGGGTGAATTAGGGAGAGTATTATTATTATTATTATTATACAAAAAGTTTGGATTGATTTATTTTAAAAGAGTTATTTATAATAATTTTTAATTCCTCCAGGTGTTTTGTTATTTTTTGCCAATATTGTACCGGGTATACAAATAATTATGATGTAAAAGGGTGTAAAATTAGAAATGAAATAAATGTTAGTAAATTTTAACATTTTTGATAGGTTAAATTCTGCAATAAAATTTAAAAGAAACTGAAAAGACCTTACAAATAAAGTATCACAATCCTCATCTTCCAATTTAAAGATTTAGGGATTTGCAGTAGCTCCTGAAGGGAGTTAAATTGACGTTGTCTCAGGATGTTCTAAAAAATAGCACAATAATGGAGGTACTACTAAATTTATTCCATTTGGGCTGCTCCACGCTGTATATTATTTATAATCCAAATCTTTTGTAGACACTAATTGGACTCCAGAATATGAGAAAAGAAAAAAAACCCGCCCCATGTTGGGCGCCAAATTGTAATGGTTTTATTTCGGGGTGTATAGTGTATTATCTGGATTTATAAAGATAGTAACTAAAGTTTCTGTGAAAAATGTTTGTAATTTTGAACAGATTTAATTGAAATGTTTGTTACATTTTTTTTGGTATTATAAACCGTCATAAAATGTACTTACCAGAGGAAATTGGTCTCATAGGGCAAGTCATGATGTTTTCACATCGTTGTCCGTCAACGTTAAACTCCTCGTTCTCGATGTAGAGCTTAATAAAAGGCAATCTAGTGTTTAAGTAGTATCTACAATGCAAATTCCGAGGGTATATGCCAGGATAAGCCGGTGATTGAACGTAACAAGTTTGAAGGACGACAGTCTCTAAATATTCGCTCGCAATATGACCTGAAAACAGATAAAATCAATCACGTTAAAACGAACTTCGCGAAGGGTTTGTTGGCTTAACTTCCGATGTGCCGATTTGAATAATAATGGTTGTACCAGCCATCAAAAGGATTATTTAGTGTCTAACACCAATTGTGTTATACAAGCAGAACAGGAAATTTATTTAATTAAAACAGAAATAAACTATTAATTTACCAAAAAAATACAAAAATACAAAAATTTATAACCGTTATAAAGTGTGAAATTTAAAATACACTATTTTAATGATTTAATAATAATAATTATATGCAATGAGCTTCCATAGTATAAAAATTTAACACAAAGACAGCTGACAGTGTTTAAAAATAGTTTTTCTAATCATAGGAAACTGCAATATATCTCAATTCTTCTTGATGAAGATGAGATACATTGTGCGGCGCATTTTCATACAGTTATAATTGTTTTCAACAATTTTGAGTGTCACGTACTATTGCGAGTTGTTTCCTAATATTTAAGCAACTCAACACGCTATAATTTGTATGTCTGGTTGCCTAATAACCATCAGAGTAGTACAGAGAGGACAGTAACTACGTTTGAATCGCCCAATGACATATATAGTTTATATAGACTGCTTATCTATATGTAAACAAGACGACGAAAAGCGGGTCAAATTACAGTCGTCCATATTTTCTTTCAAACTGGACATGCGCGGCCATAGCTACGAAGTTGGCTAACCTACATGTGTCATCTGTCAATGATCTAACCTAACCTATGTTAGCTGCCCATCCCCCTCCCACTAGGCATCCTGAGGCAACAGATGGCAGGTTAGGTTAGGTTGGCAACGTTGTTGACATGCTAGGTTAGCCAAGGGTAGACAACTCAGGATAGAAAATGGCGCTAGACAGATTTTTGACATGTTAGGTTAGGTTAGACAACTTCGTAGCTTTCAATTAGGCATTCCAACGACCTGTCAAACAATAGGTGCCAGTGGGAAATTCTTGTATATCTAAGGGGGTAGCGACATAATCTTGCAACTTGGACGCTATTTTTATTCGAAGTAATAGTCACCAAGCCTGCCAATTTATGAAGAAATGTATAGGTGGGTTTTTTAAATATGATTTTTATTGTGTTTGACATAAAATATTTAAATGTTATCCATTATTCATGATTTTATGTAAAGTAGATAGAATACACCGTATGTCGCCAGCCTTAGATATACCAAACCTTCCCACTGGCAATTCATTTGTTTGGAATGTCTAATTTAGTTAGGTTAGTTGCCATATGTTAAATTAATAGATGACAGCTGACATAAGTTAGGTTAGATCGTTTACAGATTACATTCAACAAAAATTTGACATGTCAACATCTAAAAATAAATTACAAATTGAAACAAGATAAGTATTAGAAGTAATTTTAAAAAATCGACTTCAAAATCGTGAAGGTGCTGTCACCACATCTTAACCAAATTTATATGGGATCACCCCTGAGGTACCCCCCTTACTAACAAAAAAAGAATAATAGAAATTGAATACGGTGGTAAAGAATTATCGCTAACCATACATTAAAAATAAGAGTTTAAGGATTTTTCTCATGAACCCAATTATTAGAATTTGACCAAATTTATATGGGACTACCCCTGAGGTACCCCCTTGCTAACAAAAAAAGAATCATAAAAATTAGATAAGGTGGTAAAGAATTATTGTTAAACATACATAAAAAATGAAGGGTCTGAGGGTTTTTCTGATAGACTCAATTATTAGATTTTGATCAAATTTATATGGGACTACCCCTGAGGTACCCCCTTACTAACAAAAAAGAATCATAGAAAATGGACAAGGTGGTAAAGAATTACCGCTAAATATACATAAAAAAGAGATTGAGGATTTTTATTATGGACCAAATTAATAGATTTTAATCAAATTTATATGGGATTACCCCTGAGGTACTCCATTACTAACAAAAAAAGAATCATACAAATTGCACAAGGTGGTAAAGAATTACAGCTAAACATACATAAAAAATGAAGAGTTTAAGGATTTTTCTCATGAGCCCAATTATTAGATTTTGACCAAATTTATATGGGATCATCCCTGAGGTACCCCCTTACTAACCAAATAAGAATCATGCAAATTGGACAAGGTGGTAAAGAATTACCGCTAAACATACATATAAAATGAAAAGTTTGAAGATTTTTTTTAAAAATACAGAATATAAACATTCACACCTTCACAAAATATATATTTATATAATATAGGACATTATGGGATTATATCATTATTTACATTCAATAAATTTTCAAAATTATCAACTGTAGCCTCTAGGGGCTAGACAGTCCATTCTTTTCCATTATTATTTCGTACTAAAGCATAATTTGGATTAACTGCAACAGCTTTAACTTCTACCAAAGGATCGTATTTACTTTACCGGGCATGTTTTTTCAGGAAATCGATTTCTCAAGAATATAACCAAGTACGAAGAGAAGTTCACCACCCTGAAAAGGAGAATAGCTCCTATAGCAGGGTATAAGGAAAATAAAATGTCCTAGAAAAAAACTTATGAAAACTTATGAAAAAGTTCAATTAGTGCAAATTTCTAGTTTGTTTTTAATGGTAAATTAAATACTTTTCACTATAGTTCCAATATAGCGTTTGATTTGTTCATTTTTTTTTTAAATAAATCAAAATCTACTTAACTTTTATTAATTTTATAAATGAATTCAGAATCAGCATCAAATTGTCAAAAAATTTCTTATCAAATCGACCTTTTATTTCCTAAATTAAGCGAGAAATAAACATAAAGACTCGAATTTGGGACACAGTGTATATCACGTCTAACAAAAACCAAGCTGACTATATCTCTAACTGAAAAAGTCGTAGAAAGTAAAAACTTCAATCTGCTGCAGTGCCGATATAAATATTTAAATTCCTTATTCTGGTGGTAAAATCATTTGAATAATAAATCGAATAAAAGTGAAATTTCCTGTACAATCTCGCAAAAAATCGATTCTTGTTTCAGTTAATCAAGTAATCTGAATAATTTCCTTGGGGATGTACTTTGCAAGATAGAGGTTTTGTTTGTTTTACGTTTTGAATAATTTTTTATATATCCAATATTTTTACATTGTTCCGTAATCCAGACAATTCCAAACGAAAAATAAAAAGAAAAATGTTTTCAAAGAACATTCTAATAAGTATTAATAATTAGGTTTTAGTTATTATATAATAAAGTAAGAGAATAATTAATTTAGACAGTTTTTAATCTCGCATAGAGTTAATAATTGATATTTATATTATTTTATGATAGATTTATTTTCTATTAGGTTCTTAAATTGAACTTGCGAGTCTCAATTCGTCTTATACTATAAGAAATGTATAAAGGCCATAAAAGAATGAAAGAAAAGAAGAAAGAAACTAATTTATTTATCCTTACCCTTGAACAACCTCTCCTCTTCTATTTGGATACAGTTCTGGGTGTTGTCCGTATCGCAGATAGACGACAAGTTGCTGTTCAGCTCTGGTATCAAAACTTAGATAAGTTTGATCAGTGAAATTTTCGACGTGAAAAAGAACTTTGACGAAAGACGTTTCAGACATGAAGGTCTGCGGTTGCTCGCTTTCGCCACAGAATATTCCAGGTTCTTTACGATTCGAAACGTCGGTCTTAGCATTTCCATCGACAATCTGAAACGAAATAATTAAAATTAGATAGAGAAAGGTATAGAAAACTTTTAGGCCCGTCTCTGGGCTGCCGCTGCAGGTGTCTATATACGAGTCCCTCTGTTATATCGAAATAAAAATAATTTTACCTACAAAATATGGCAACCAAGTAAGCGGTTTCTGAGAATAATCAACTTAGTTACATAATTAATAGTTTTTGTCTTAATTTAAATTCAAACTGATTGTTCTAGTAAATAATATAAATCTTGTACACATCGAAAATCTTATTTATATTATGAAGAGCATATTCAGGATCAGAAAACACATTTTATCATGAATTAAAACATTATGGAAAATAATCGGGCCCTGAAATGACTTTAAATCTCGACGGGGCCGTTAAAAGAGCTTCAGGAGAGGGTCGGCGAAATGTAATAAAAAAAAATTCATATAGGAAACCGTAGGAACGACCCTTTTTTGTTCCATACTCCATACGTGTAAAAATATTTCGTATTCATATGAACAGAATCAAAGTGTCAAAACGAAATGGATGAAAATTTAAATGAATATACGAGGATATTCAACTGAAAATTAAAAGTTTCTTTATCACGCGCGGGTAAAATTTATTTAATTTGACTAAAATATACAGGGTGGCCACTTTTTCATTGAAATGTATTGCTATCTCGTAAACCGTTGGTAACACAAAGTTGGTTAAATGGGGAAAAAGTTGCATATTTCGAAGTCCAATCTGAGGGCGTTTTGAAAACTAAAATATCAGGTCCGGTTTCCGAGATATTCGATAAAAAACAAATAAGTACCATTTCTTTATTCCGCTACAGAACGTTTATTTGCAAAAATAGACATAAACTCATTTGGAGTTTTTTGTTTTATATCAAATTGTGCGTATGATAGCGTATTTAGTTTTTTTATCCGACGTTTCGTAAATGCAGGACCACCATCAACTTCTTTATTTGAATATGGACCATTATTTTCCTGGCTCATAATTTTAATGCATGTTCAATGTTGAATACAATGATGTAATTACATATTGTGATTAGTCAACATTTCGGAAGATTTGAACATCATCAGGTAAGTTTACAAGTACGGACCTGTGTTTTGTTAGTTAAAAATATTTGAATTAATAAATGATGTATTATCGTTGTAAGAGATTATAAATAATAAATACCAAAGTCAAACTTTTAACTTTACATCAAGACAACATGTTCGTTTACACATTTGCTAAAAAATATTTTCCATTTTTATGGTTTTTGCACTTGACCAATCCCAATATTAATCTATAAATAAAGTACATCCCGATTTTTAAATACATAAAGTTAGCCTGATTTGTCATATTTTGTTGGATTTTTTATTTTGGTTCCTCATAGTATAAAAAAGAAAAAGTTAACAAACTGCAGATAGATACCTACTTACAATAATAATTGTATATCTAGCAACACGTCTTGATTATTATACAGATAAATTTAAATCAAGTTAACCTGGCATGTCACATTTTATTATTGTATGTTTGACAGTCTGGTATCGGATAAAAGCATTGGTATATTTTTAATTAGGGTATTGAAAATATGGTTCGTTACAGTAGAAGTGAGAAAAAAGATATGTACGATGTGTACATAAAATGTAACAGAAATAGTGGAGAAGCTGCAGAAAGATACCTTCAGTTGTATCCAGGAAGGAGGCAACCATCTTTATTAATTTATTATAGGATAGCGTTAAATATGGCTCACGAAGGAAATATTGAAAAAAAAAACGTGGTAAATATTTAAAACGTAATACAATAAATGAAATAAATATTTTGTCTCAAGTTTATACCAACCCTGAAACGTCGTCTAGAGCAATAAGCCGAGAATGTGGAGTTTCTGCAAGTACTGTGAAAAACATTCTTAAAAAACATAAGTACCATGATTACAAATTCCAAACTGTACAAAAGCTACATCCTGGAGATTATAATCGTAGAATAGAATTTTGCCGTTGGTATAAACGAAAATTAAATAATGATGTATCCTTTCATGGACGAATTTTATGGACAGATGAATCGACATTTACTAATAGTGGAATATTTAATAGAAAAAATAAACATTTTTATGCCACCGACAACCCACATTTAATTCAAGAAGTAAGACCCCAAATTAGATTTTCAATAAACTTATGGTGTGGAATACTCAATAATAAAATAATTGGTCCTATTTTTATTGACGGAAACCTCAACCAACACAACTATTTACAATTGCTAGAAGATATGTTAGATAATCTTCCTTTAGGTGATCGAAGAAATATTTATTTTATGCAAGATGGCTGTGGGCCACATAATGCTGCATTAATCAGAAATTATTTAAACGAAAGATTTCCCAGGAGGTGGTTTGGTACACATGGACCTATTCGATGGCCCCCTAGGTCACCCTGCTTAAATCCTATGGATTATTTTGTATGGGGATATATCAAAAATAAAGTATATTATGATGGTATTCCAAATGACTTAAATCAATTACGAGATAGGATAATTAATGCGTTTAATAATATCACTCCACAAATGGTTTCTGCCAGCATAGCTCAAATGACAGACCGTATTGACTTATACATTCAAGAAGAAGGAGGACATTTTGAGCAACTACTGTAGTTTTTCTCTTATCGTTAATCATTGTTTTCATTTATTTGTTTCTGACGTGATTAAGTAGTTAAATACATATTTTTTTTATTAAATTATTTTAAGCATTTAAAATGTAGTTGTGTATTTCAAATAATTTATAATACAGGTCTGTACAAGTAAACGTACCTGATTTCTTACACTGATAATACATCATTTACTAATTCAAATATTTTTAACTAACAAAACACAGGTCCGTACTTGTAAACTTACCTGATGATGTTCAAATCTTCCGAAATGTTGACTAATCACAATATGTTATTACATCATTGTATTCAACATTGAACATGCATTAAAATTATGAGCCAGGAAAATATTGGTCCATATTCAAATAAAGAAGTTGATGGTGGTCCTGCATTTACGAAACGTCGGATAAAAAACTAAATACGCTATCATACGCACAATTTGATATAAAACAAAAAACTCCAAATAAGTTTTTGTCTATTTTTGCAAATAAACGTTCTGTAGCGGAATAAAGAAATGGTACTTATTTGTTTTTTATCGAATATCTCGGAAACCGGACCTGATATTTTAGTTTTCAAAACGCCCTCAGATTGGACTTCGAAATATGCAACTTTTTCCCCATTTAACCAACTTTGTGTTACCAACGGTTTACGAGATAGCAATACATTTCAATGAAAAAGTGGCCACCCTGTATATTTACATAAATCTGGACGTCTATTAGGTCTAATATGTAAAACTTTTACTGTCCATTAATTTTTGTAGAGGAAGTGAGTAAATTATGGAATATCGTAGGGAATTATAAACGCAATTTGATTCGTTTTGTTTATAAATCATCTAACATTCTTTTTTGAATCGTATCTTAAAGTTAATGTAAGTTTTTTAAGAACATTCATATTTCACAATAAACCTAAGTTACTAATTGAAATGTTTTATAGACCGAATCTGGCCTGGAAATTTCTAAAGAGCAGATATTATTGAAGTATCTATCTCCTATAGAATAAAGACAAACCATCAACTGCACACCGTTGGCCGAGAGGAACCAGCGAGATTGGAGTTTGGAGTCGTTAATTACACGAATAGCCCTTTTCTGAAAGACATAAAGAATGAAGGGTGTTGTAAGTACTGCCATTTCCCAAATTTGTGAATAGTATTCGAGGATAGGTCTTAATTTAACAAGACAAAAGTTTAGTGTGATATAAATGATTAATTTAACATTTTTTTTTTAATTTTTAAATTTTTGTGCATAAAAATATTATAAAATTTGATAGATAACAATAAAATATTGAGGGTTGGTACGTCTTTCGAATATGGTGCAAAACCAAACCAATTCCACCTCATTAAAAAGATTTCGAGTGGAATTACGTTTTAAGATTATCTCCCCTTTAGTTATACAGGATGTTTAAAAATTGTGTGTACCACACATTTATGGACTCAAAATTAGTTAATTTAAACAAATTTTACTTGCTTCGTTTTGGCCGCTAGAGATCAACAAAATCAACAATATCTTTACAAATCGAATATCTAGGGCAACAAATATATTTATATATAAAACTGTTAGGATATAGACAGGTTCAGATCTGTCTCTTAAATTATAGATGCTTCTCGATGACATTATTTTACAATTAACACGTTAGCTAGAGCTTTCTCGATGCGAACACAATGACCACATAAACCAGACGCGCTGGGGACAACGGAGGCAGGACCGGACTGGTCGAAAATGGCTTGCACAAAATTAACGTTATTACAACTTTAATACTCCCAAAACTTAGTTTTATGTGTTATTTACGATAAAATACTGTAATAACATACAAAGTGGGCAAATGTAGATGTTTTAATAGAGAATCTCGAAAAGAAAAACTTTTGTTTATAACTCAAAAACAAACTACAATAGCCAATTTTTGAAAATGCCATTAAATATTTCTCAAAAAAATAAATCGAGGATGGGAGGTTCATTTTTCTATACCATTTATCTCTATTAAAACATCAAAATTTGCCCACTCTGTACATATATTATTTACTTATTCGCTTTCTTCAACTTAATTAAACATTTCTGGTTTAGTGTGAGAAAAAAAGAACTAAAAGAGTATGGTGGAATAACGATTTCACACGGTGAAATAACAAAATTACAGAAAAAAACCCTTTTGAGCTTTTTTTATTGCGACTGGTTTTATCTCATAGGCGTTTGGGGCAAATGAAATAAGACCGGACGAAACCGAAAGGAGTTACCCTATTTCGAATATCCTTATTCGCTGAGAAAAGAGGAGCTTTGGGATTTGGCATCCGATTCGCAAATAAAGTTTCTCTATTTGGAGATAATAATAGAATCATGAAATACAACTGAATTTTCTATCATTATCATAGCATTAAGAGACAATTAATTGGATTTTTTCTTACTATTATT